CTCCGGCCTGATGGGCCACTTGGCTCGCATGCAGACTTTACCTTTACCTGTACTTGGAAAACATTTCGGACGTTTAATTTTCGGACACTTTTTATCTCATTTCGGGCAAATTTCGGACACTTCGTTGAAACATAGCTTAAGTAAATTTAAGCCACCAAACGCGAATTAGACTGAGACAAAATCTGTGAGAATGATAGTCTCATAGTCTTACTGCTCCCTCAAGGTTTTAGAGACACACCGACGAGAAAACAACACAAATTCTATCGAGCTGTTACGTATCTCAAGCGTATCTCAAGAGTTCGTTCCATAAAGAAAAATAAGAGCTTTGGAGCTACTTCACAGTTTCATTTTGTGCATGCTGTAAATATTCCGGACGCTTAAACATTTCAGATGGTTTTTTTAATTTTCTGACACTTTTTTGTCCGAAATTAGAATTGTTCGAAATTTCTTGCCAGTAATGCACGCCGTGTAATTGTGACGTAAAATCGCCCCATAAAGCATTCCTGGATGTATCATCAGCGAGATCAATCATACTACAACATAGCTACTAAAGCAGCGCTATCAAACTCAGTATAACTAAGCGTGCAGCAAAATCCACTGATGCACACTCATAGCTTACATTGTTATTNGGAGTAGAGATACTCCTAGTCGCTTCATGCTACAGAAACCGGGATAAGCTCCGGCCTGATGGGCCACTTGGCTCGCATGCAGACTTTACCTTTACCTGTACTTGGAAAACATTTCGGACGTTTAATTTCGGACACTTTTTATCTCATTTCGGGCAAGTTTCGGACACTTTGTTGAAACATAGCTTAAGTAAATTTAAGCCACCAAACGCGATTTAGACTGAGACAAAATCTGTGAGAATGATAGTCTCATAGTCTTACTGCTCCCTCAAGGTTTTAGAGACACACCGACGAGAAAACAACACAAATTCTATCAAGCTGTTACGTATCTCAAGCGTATCTCAAGAGTTCGTTCCATAAAGAAAAGTAAGAGCTTTGGAGCTACTTCACAGTTTCATTTTGTGCATGCTGTAAATCTTCCGGACGCTTAAACATTTCAGATGGTTTTTTAATTTTCTGACACTTTTTTGTCCGAAATTAGAATTGTTCGAAATTTCTTGTCAGTAATGCATGCCGTGCAATTGTGACGTAAAATCGCCCCATAAAGCATTCCTGGATGTATCATCAGCGAGATCAATCACACCACAACATAGCTACTAAAGCAGCGCTATCAAACTCAGTATAACTAAGCGTGCAGCAAAATGCACACTCATAGCTTACATTGTTATTCTCACGTCGCACAACTGACATTTAATCAACAACTAAACGACTGAGCGTTAGTTTCCATGCTCCCCTCTACTTACCAAGAACACCAGCAAGTGAACAAGCAGTGTGTAGAAAAACGCGATCGTTCTGGCAACTTTGTTTGACATGATGAAGCGACCCTGACAAAGTAAGGAAACTATTCATGTGTTTTGTTTCTAGGAAGTCAAAGTACTCGACGCTAAGTTTTCTCAAGGACAACTTCCAAATGTTTGAATTTGATTGGACTGGGGCCTTCAGGTTTCTTGGACGGCCACCCTTCCTTCCTGCAGAAAAAAATATGACTTAGAGGAACTATGTCAGGGTTTGCTCATCCTTTAAAAGCGTAGCCTAAGTTTTTCAAGTTCGTCATTTGTAATCCGTGTCAATCTCCTTTATCCTTAGCCATCCCTGTTCCTTTATGGTTTATCATTATTATTATCTCTTTGGTGTTTTTCTATCTCAGTATAAACTACTATTTTAAGGTTTCCTTCAATTTAAAGGTAATTTTGGACGTGGCCGAAATAACTCAAAATACCGTGAGCTCCTTTAAAGAACCGAAAGTTAACTTCTCTTCTCCTCCCCCAACCTGTCCATCACTGGAGCCGGAAAAGGGCCCACAGTAATTCATGCCCCTTCAAATTTCCCCCTCCTCTCTCTTTTCTCGAGCAATAAGGGGTGGGGGGGGGGGGG